GCTAACTATGTCTGTCTGCAGTTTGGCATTGAGAAGTGTGTTTTTATTTTGTAGAAAACAGCTGCCTGCTGTAGGAGAAAAATTACACTGACAAGCGAGAGAACCAAAACAGTGAAGTTTCAGGCCAGAAAACCACAACAACTGGCTGAAAGCTGCTGAAACACTTGGCAGAGCTGAGGTAAAAAAATAAAAAAGATTGGACACAGTGATGATTATGCTCAATCCCACTAGCACGTAGAGCAGCCACCATTTACCCATTAACAACCATCACCTAATCGCCACAGCTGTGTCAGCTCGCAGCCAATGCAGACAGCTGCGGAGGATCAGTTTGACCGATTCAGTGAAGCGCTCATCACTGTGAACCTCCTCAGGGGAAAGATTTGGCCGAAATGGAGATAGACGTAAAGCAAGAGACACCGGAGAGATGAACACATCTGTGAGAATCCATCTTGGTTTCCATTGTGTTCACAAACAAGTACATCAGCTGGGTAATGCATATAAGGGGAAAAGTAAAGTTGGATCAAGACTCTTAAGCTTTGGGAAATTTACAGCTTGTACAAACATGCACGCCATGAGAGACAACAAGTGACAGACAAAAACAAAGCAGAGTTTATAATATCTGGCTTCTCGGGAAGTATAATCTTATCTTTCTGTTATAAATGGGGCCAAATCAGAGTGAGGAAAATGTTTTTACAGTTCATCTTTAGCAGACCGGATTTGTAAAAGATGGAGGACGAAAAGTGTTTTCATTTCTGTTTTCCCTTGTTTTCATAGACAAAGTGCAAACAATACCCGGGTTTGACTGCCTACTGAAAGCTCTTCACTCTCTCTTGGCACTGTCATATCACTGAATGATTGAAATCCTTTCCTGCACATCCGGCTGATGCAGAGAAAGAGCAAGAGAGAGACATTAGGGGGGGAAGAGAAAGGTGGTGTGCTGGATCTGTCATCAAACTTTTGCATCCTTCAGATGTGGAATGTGAACTTCCTCCCTCTACGCCTCCTCACAAGGTTTTCCGTATCCACAGAGAGTGTGTGCAGGTCAAAGGTCGGACCTACTGTAAAGTTGCTCTGGTAAATTCTCAGTGCATGCCAAAGTACAGTTGCTAGGCCTTTCCTTTTCTTCACCTCCGTATGTTTTTTATAAAGAATGCCTCCCTGAGGAGCTGTTCTTTACTCGTAGACGGGGAGTTTCAGAGTCCATTTCAGTCCTTGAGTTTACCACATCACACCGCTGAACTGAGACATTTATAGTTCCTATGAGTGATCTTTACAGGAGAAGAGAAACTGGCCAGTTGGTGCTTTGCAGAAGGTAGCACAACTTTAAACTTCAGTTTACAAATACATGTGACTGTCTTTAGATCCCTTATTTTTACGAGTATTTTTGTCACTGTCCTCCTCTAAAAACAACCACATAGTTTTTTTTATAATCAGAAATTATGACCCATATTTAAGCTTTTGAATAGCAGCAACCTCTCGTAGTAATTATGGCCAGAGCAAAGGAGGAAGTGAGATGACAAAGTCCGATGAGGGCAGGATGAAGGGGAGGTAGATAGGTCAAACAAACACAGGACTTTCAACCAGGCGACCTGTGTTTGTGTCCCATGCAAAACAAAAAGTCTGTGATATGTCGTGTTACGTTACATTTGTAACAAACATGAATTTTTTTTTAACCCTTTTTTCTAAACCTAACCAAGGAGTTTCATTGCCTAAACCAATAACATAGTTATGGTGCAATTGCAACTGTTTCACAACCACATGCTTAAAACTGCGACCAAACTGCATCACATATGAGCTACTCTGTCTTCCACTGGTAGGTGTGCTAATTCAGGAAACGCTCTTGTGGGTTGAAGTAGTAACATAAACCTATGTTGTCATATTGGTTGGAGGACTTGGAAGTATTTTTATGAATATTTTCTGTGCAACTGCTCCACAATTCCATGTATATATTACTGAACAGGCATGCAAGGCACAAGACTGTGACACCAGAGACTAGTTCTGCAACCAGAGTCCAGTCTGTGTTGAGGTTTAGGCAACAAAAGCACTTTGGTTAGGGTTAAGGAAAGACTGTGGTTTCAGTCACATGTTATAAACATGTTTCTAAAGTCATTGCTGACTTCTCTGTATTAAATCAGACTACATTTTTTCCATAACATTATTCAAATGCTGCCAGTGCCTAAACATAACCATGAAAATGTAACAATGCTGTCATCACAAGATAGAGATGAAATATATTGTCAGTAAACTGAGAAACTCTTTAACTGAGGGTTAAATATCAACATTCTTGCAACTTTCCAGATGTGTTCATTTAGAATTAATTATTTCCATATGTTAATGAGAAAAGTAATTTGGTCAACACTACATTTCTCTCTAAATGTATTTGCTATTTGGATAAAACCGTAATATCTCAGAGACAGGATTGTTTTTACAGCCGTATTAACAGCAGGTTAATTGACTATTGATGGCTGTAAATATGATGTAATGCCATTTGTTCTGTCCTTGAACAGACACTATTTGTAGAGATTTGCAAAAATTAGCTTTTGGCCAACATAAATATGTGCATATGTAACTTTTCCATGCTTAGTAGGGGGCACTGACGCATTTACAAAAGGGCAACGGACAGAAAATTACCATTACGGATTTCAAAACAAATTTCAAACCTTAGAAACAAATCAAAAACTAGACCTTCAAGTTGGTATGATGGCATCCAAGCACCTATTTGACTGCTCTGTTAGTTTAGTTTTTTGTGATTTTGTGATCTTTGTTGAAAGTTTGCAGTGATGTCCCTGCTCAACCGACATATATAGCACATCACTACATGTGTGCCTAATGTGTAGCTAAGATTTTGGAGGCATTTATATCAGCTCCTCTACAAGCCTGTGTAAGTTAAGATTAGTCAGAAACCACTTCACCCCTGTGTCCATATTCAAAGCATGTTTCATTCTTGAAAAGAAATAAGATGAAACCCTGTTTATTTTCATTCCCAAACACATGTGGCCAGTTGTTGTGGAAAGTAGGCGTTGGCTGTCTGATTCTGGAACAAAACTTTACAGATGTGGACCCCCCCGTCAAATGATCAGAAAGCTATATGACGATCTGGTCAGCACGTGTCTGAAGCAGAAAGCGGCCTTTAGTCATGCAGAACACTGTCACTCACTTTGACCTTGTTATCTCAATATGTTTAGTCTGTGTCTGTCGATTCAAACCCCTGGGCCCTCTGTCTTCTTTCTATCTTTCAGTCCCCTCCCTAATGGGGCTCCCACACTCCTCACACTCTGACCCCCTCTTTTAGTGGTGTGAATTTCATCACTTAAACTGCGGAAGTGTGATAAGTATTTCTAACTAATGAGTTTCAGCAGCAAAGTCTTCCATATGGCTGAGGGCTCACAACAGACTCATACATTCACACGATCTAACACATTTCCATTGCATTGTTGTGATGCTTTAATACACTACAAGAAGGCTTTCGGCTATGATCACACATGATGCTTCTATGAGCTTTGTTGGCAGTCAACCTGAAGTAACAGTGGGTCTAAATAAAATATATAAAAGCAGGATATATGCTTTCATATAATCTGTATTTTCTTCCTGTCAAATCCCATGAAAGATCCCAAACCAACAATGTGTCAGCCCCTCTCCAAATACCTTCAGACTTCCCAACACTGTCTGTGGCCCAGAGCCCATTGGCTCCTAGGACTAAATGTTTGAAAATGGGCACTGTAGTTTTTAGCAAACATCGCTCACACAGGAATAAATAGTGACTGTGTTGGGGATTATTTTCAGCTGTGGATTGATAAATATTTACAGCAACACAGGCAATACCTGCCCGGAGCATCAGCTCTATATTGGTTTCATTCTTTTATGGGATTTGTTGACATTATGAAAAACGTAGAACAACACCAGCCTTATCCTTTGAAGAACAGGATGTCAGGCCATTTGTTGAGCAGAAACCTTGAATCATCATTTTTTTGTTTTCGTTTGTGTGTTTGTTTTTCATAAATCAATGTTATTGGTCACCCTTCATGTCTGTATGAGGATTTTACAGATATTTAACCAATGATAAGTATTAAAAAAGAGCTTGTGACTAAATCTCTTGACTCCATTAGATTCTCAAACTGTCAGTAAAACCTCATAGCTCCACACCGCCTCCATTGATTGAAGTATTGCAACAGAGCATCTTTGGTTTTGGCTAAACGTACTGAACAACAGTTTCATGTAGGAACTATTTTCTTTCTGCCAAACTACACAAACCAACCGCATCGCAACCCACGCAGAAGGAAGCATGCATCTACTCATGGACAAGAGGCTGGTGCTCATGACAGCACGACGTGTAAACATTAATGGTGTCCATCTCGGCTGAGCTGTAACGTTAGCTAGCTTAGTGGTGCTAGGTGAGTTAGCAGCAGATGCATGCTTGAGCCTATCCCAGCTAACACTGGGCAAGAGGCGAGGTACACCCTGGATCGGATGCTGGAGTAAACTCGCACTAACATGAGAGAACATGCAAACTTCACACAGAAGGGCCCTGGCCAGCTGGTGGATGGTGCCACCATTTTGACGATGCAGGTGTTTTTCTAAAAAACACAGTTAGATGTTGTTGTTTTTTCATTTCCTGAAAAGTAGCGGTTTTGGACATAGGTTTCTGCACAATAGTGACGACATATGCTATAGCACAGGGAGATGATGAGAAGCTATTAGGTTTCCTCCAGGCTCTGCCAATTCACTTTTTCTGAATAGTACCACATAATTGAGGCATGTAAAACTTAAGGCATTAAAGCATGAGCTAGTTAGGTGAAAGGTATGTTCAGTCAGCAACCAAGTTACTGAAATTTGCAGAGGCATTTAGAAAGCATCATGTGTGATGATGGCGTTGATTGGTTTTCCACACTAAAACCCAAGAAGTAGAGCTGTTTAACTCTGAAGTTAAGGAAGACAGATATAGAAAGAGAGAGGGACGTTTTCAAAGCTGTGTGGAACAGTTGGTACAGTATGGGACTTACCCTGGCACCCTTCTCTGGGAAACATTTACAGCCTCCGCTGCAGTCTCTTCCTGCACAGGGGCCGGTGTGCTTCTTCCCACCCTGTCAGACACAAAACAGACAACAGGAAGGTTAGAGCGGGGCTGTTAGAGGTCACAATATAGCGGTCACATATACAGGAAACTGCAACATGTTGCTGTCCACTTCATTCACGTAAACACAGCAGAGATTTGTGTCCACCTGTTGTTTCTTTTGCTCTTAATGCATTAGATGGAGATGGGACACAGTGTGGGGTGGTGTAGTACTGTAGGTGTGACTGGCTGTGTTTGTGTACAATGTGGTTTGTGTATACTTGTTTATGCTTGCGGCTCTATTGCATGAGCGTTTGTTGTAGTGTTGTCTGCTGGGTTGTGTATATTGGTCTGATGTGAAGAGAGGATGTTTTGGATGTGGCGCGTATGACTCATGACGGAAGTGCAGACATAATGGATGTCCATGAGAATCCTATTCATCAGAAAGACTGGATCCAGCCGCTGACAGAGACAATTTGTCTTTAGATGTCTGCATACCAGCAAAACCACCCACAATCAGAGGCTGATGTGTGCTCGATGTGACACGAGCACACACACATTCACAGACGCACACTGTTGGGGTCAGTGTGGACATGACATGATCAAAGAAAGCAGTCTCACAAATGGGGTTTCCCAACCCACAGGTCAGAGGTGTTGAGACCCTGCGCTCACTGAGATAGCTGAAGACATTTATTAAGACAGAATAGCATCTTGGCAAACTTCTGTGTTTATGTGGTGTTTCAAATGAAAATCACATGCAAAATCTAAGTTTGCCTTTCGGATCTTGTGCCACGACCGCATTTCTTACTCATCAGAAGCAGAAGCACAACAATCTGAAGCCTTGACAAAACTGTAAACACAACATAACATGCTGAGAGCCACACCTTCACCTATAATGCCGCAAAACAGATGCACATTAGGGCCATATCCACACAAGAGATTTTCATTTTAAAGGTCTAGTGTGTAGGATGCAGTGGCATGTAGCAGTAAGGTTGCAGAGCTGAAACTTCTCCCATGTGCCAAGCGTGTAAAGAAAGTGGCCCTTCGTAGAGCCAGTGTTTGATCTGTCTGTTTTGGGACACTGTAGAACAACATGGCGGACTCCGTGGGAGAGCACTGTTTCAGGAATAATCTCATTCATACTAACACATCATTCACGTATACTCGTCATCCACGTGCCGATGTAAACAGGAGGGAGATTGTCTACTCTGCGGCTGGTTGCTTGTTACAGAAATACTGGCGAAAACTCAGACCAGCGATTTCTTTGCTTGGACCAACCACAAAGTAATGAAATGTGTCCACAGGATCCGTCATTTCCACTCTTCCCATTCAGTGTCTATCTAAGCAGCCGTGCAATACATTCTGGTAGTGTAGCACTGCTATTCAGGAGATGGGCCATGTGCTCCTTATTGGGTATCTGGTGCAACTACCACTTCTAGAAACTCTCGAAAACCTTTAACTAACAGTTTTCGATCTAAACTGAGGACAGATTCAGCAGCTGCATGTCTTATTTCTCACCTCAGATGTTTTCAGATGCACATTTTGGTGAACTGTTTTTGTAACATTAGAGAAAGTTTCCGCACAACTTGCCATGTTGGTCTCGTTTGAAATCTGGGAGCACACAAACAACGGGCCTAGTGGCATGTACATCAAACATCCATGGCTGGATAGCGGTGTGACCCCTCACGTTAAAAAATGTCCAATAACATATGAGTATAAGGCAATGATGGCAGCAGAAAACATGTTGGGAGGTGTTGCCAAGCAAATACAGCGGCATACTAGAGGGGTACCCAGAACATTATCTATCGCTGGATAAAGCCATGGCAATGGGAAGGGAGTATCCACACAGGATGGATGAAATTACAAATGTATGTAGGCCTAGATTTTAAGTTCTGGCTTATGACGTTATGAGTGTGGACATTAGGCATATATGTAGCAACAGCATAGTTTTCCACATATTCATTTATTTGGGTTTATGGGGATGGCACAATTAAAACATCTGCCACCATGTTTTAATTTTCTATTTTTGGAGCTGGACCATTCAATAGGTGCGCTGTTGGGATATATACCATCCGGTTGCTTCAAACCCTCGCAGCACAGAGCTTACTTTGGGCACAGACTGAGCAGCGGAACGTCAGGTGCAGTGAAAATGAAACTTCAGCATTCATTGTGCTGAGTCTAAAAGTTTGCTTTCACTCACAAACGTCTGCTCCTCTCATCTATCGATCTAGTCTGATCAGCTCTGATCAGATTTACCGATCAGTTATCCACCCCGTGACTCAAAACCCCACAAACTGCTGCTGAGGAAATAAAAGAAGAGTTTGACCTGTGCTGCGTTCACGGACAAAGACTGATACACAAGGACACACAAGTAAGTAAAAAACAAAACAAACAATCAAAATAGAACGTTAGCGACCCCCTCTTCTTTCTGTTTCTGTGGGAAACATCAAATAGTTATGTGTTTTAAAAATGAAAACTGTTGATGGAGCCCAAGATATCAGCTCAAACTGTTCAAAATGTTCTTTTAATAGATCTGCAGGTTAATCAGGGACTGTTTAAACCCTGAAGCAAAGTTTAAAAGCATGACTGGAAACAATTCTGGCAAAGTTTAAAATGTTCCATTGAACTTCTCGACATTGCACCTGAAAGTGATTAGTAATAAAACACACACATGCACAGATAACATGTATTGAATTCCAAGTTTCCAAACTTTAGGGAACTGGGTGAAAAGGCCCTTCTGTGGCTTTTCAATCAGCATGTATGAGCTAAACTAGACGTGCACAGAGGCTCCATGTAGCCGTGGATGACGACACTGTCTCTTGTGTCTGCCTACGTGCTCCACCTACACAGCCATACCATAGCAAATGCCTCAATACTTGCCCTCTCCTATGTGAAAAAAAGACCACTTTATGCCCACAGTGGCAACAAAACTGCAGATAAAGAATCAGAATAATTCTCCCTCCTCACTGTGACAACAGATCCCGGCGGTTTCTCTTACAAAGGCCACATTGAGACCCTCCTCACACACAAAGACCGTCTTTTACTAAAGAGAACGTCGTCCTTTAATGATCCCCTATCTCCACAACAAAAAGACCCTCTTCCCTCCCTTATGGAATGCACAAGGCTGCACGTCTTTGTTAACTACCACTAGATCTGAGGGTTTCCTTCCTATATCAAACTACTGTTTGATATAGATAAGACATGCTGTGATGGGTTTTATTTAGCCTGCATGCTTTAATGGCAGACTAATTCTGTCCACAACCAGTATTATTAACGTATGTCCTTAATTTAGAACTGATAAGTTTAAAAAAAAGGCATATTCAAACTGAGCCTCCTCTGCAGGAATGCATTTAGAGTATTTTTAGTTTCAGGCTTGGAGACAAAAAACAGAAAGTCATATCATCCTAATAAGGATGTAGCAAAGTCACGGCATGACCTTTCTCCACATTGAGGTCGAAGTCCAAAACACGGACAATAGACTGCGTCATCTCCGGACAGACACACAAAGGAATGGCTCCCATAAAGGCAATTACACATTATGGAGTTATGCACGATCAATTAAACTTTAAAGTTTACGAGCTTGAAATAGCTGATGGCGGTTTCAGCAGAGGACAATAGGACTGTGCTACAGTATCCTGTTTTCTCCACCCACCGTCACAATGACCCACTCTTTGTCAAAATCACCTTTTCCATAGATGCTGCACGTTGGCCTGAGACTTGAATGATAATATGTTGCTGCATTTATTTTTCATTAGTGCAAGAAAGCTCTAAACTTGCTGTCTAGTAGTCCAACAATTGTCTATTTCCTGTATTTCGTAGGGTGTGATCACACTTGCAGTCATTTGGTCCTGACCAATGAAAATACATTGTTCCCCTTTAGTTTGGTCCATTTTGTGTTCACACTGATTGATTAAAAACAGATCAACAGCTGTGATCTTCAAGTTGACGCATATGTTAACTCGTTGATTGGACAGTTCTATCATCCTGAATCATCAGAGCTACATGGACCCAAATATGAAAAGGTGAAGATGTGGATGTAAGTCTGCTATCAGTCAGGTTCATTTGTAGTGTTTTATTCAACCTGGACTAAATTTGTTGGACAAATGTTTTTGTGTCTACGTGACTAATGGGAGCAACAGTTTTTGACATTGGTCCAGAATTGAGCGAGACCCCTGGCAGCCAACGGCAAAACAAACTACAATATAACCACTTTAGGCATGAGCCAATTTACTTCTATTAAAAGTGTGTGTACCACTGATAGGCTCAGATTGTTACTCTAAGTGACTGACAATATTATGGGAAGGGTCCCACAGAGATAAACCTTTTTGTCAAAGAGTAAGATCTTTTTTGTCTGAACAGATACAGCACTGAAATCACTATCCCCAAAGTCACCAGATGCCATTTATAAAAAGAGTATTTCTATCAGGGTAAAACACACTTCATTCAAAGCTGACAAACACAAAAAAAACTCACAAAAAAACATTTTGGTTCATCTATTTACCGTTCAAACAAACACCAACTTTGGTTTGGTGGAAATAAACCTTTATTCCACCCAGTTAGATGCGAAACTATGTTAGCTCCATTCATGCTAAAATGACGTTTATCTAAATAGAGTCTGGTGGGTTTGGTGATAACGATTTTGGGGCTGCTTCTGGTTAACCCTTTGGGCCCTAGGCGTTTTTGGGGTATTTTTACTGCCTTTACTTTTAAGCTCATATCACAGTCATTATAAAGGCTACATACACATGCTATATCTTGATTTTTTTTTTTCAGGACAATGTGGGCTATTCAGATTTGACATAATTCCATGTCCTTCTGTGTGCCTGTATTTTATATTAATTTTTATATCAATGAAAAAAACAAATCCGTGTTACTAAATTCTTACATTTTTACATGTATCTCACCATAGCAAGTTGGAAAATGACATATTCTGCCATATATGAAGAGGGGAGACTCTCTGGAATCTGGCAATATAAGAACCATGATGCTGGGACATTCTGTCACTTCACAACTGTCCAAAACATGTGGTTT